CCAGAAGACAATTTAAATAAAATTAAATCAAAATATTTCTCAATTTTGTTTTTTATATGGAGAAATGGGGAAAATCGCGTCTGCTAGTGCAGATATTTTAAAAAAAACGACGAACAACGTCTCTATGTCTGTTGGTTTTTTTTAAAAATGTTTGACCAACATTTTGACCAAAAAGCGACAGACTAAGAGACATTGTCCGTCGCTTTCTTAAAATATTTGACCAGATATTTTGACCAAGAAGCGACGGACATAAAGATGTTGTCCATCGCTAATTTAAAAAATATAAATAAACAATTAAAATTAATAAAAAGCGACGAACGGCGTGACTTTTTTTAAATTAATAAATTATTATTTTTAATAAAAAGCGACGGACTGCGTCACTATCTATATAAAATAATTAATTAGCAAAAATCCGCGAAAAAAGCGACGGACTAAGCGATGCCGTCCGTCGCTTTTAAATTTTTTTTTTAAAAAAGAATTTAATGTCACGACCCAAAAATGGACGTGATGGCACTCGTCTTAACCCACTAAGACAAGTCAGCCTAAAACTCAACCATTACAATAAAATGCGAAATTTTTTATAATAAACTCAAATATACCCCCAAAATTTGGTTGTCACGTGTACAAGTCTCTAAAGTATTACAATTGAATCAAAAGAAAAATACAAGTCTCATATGACATTGTTTCTAGAGTAGAACAAGATCATAAATAGGAGTAAGAAGGATCGTTGAGAAGACAAACAACTACCTCACAAATCTCCCAGAAGCCTCAGAAAAGAAGAGAATAACAAGTACCACAAAAATCCAGGCTCGTAACCTACAAAAATTTGTAGAAGCAAGGGGTGAGTACCAAACCACACGATACTCAGCAAGTAAACCTCTGAACACGAGCTAAGGGGATAGAATACAAGTACTCCTTACACCCTAACCGAACCTTCACAACTACAATATGTATAAAACCAGCCCAACCTAACAGTTCACAATTTACAAAGCACATAGCTCAACATAACACTCTAACAATTTCATATCCTCAACAACAACAATAGTTTCATATCCTCAACAACAACACTCTAACAATTGCATATCTTCAACAACAAGCTTAATATTCATCAGTCACAAGTTCCATAGAAAGGCACTCACAAGATCAGCAACACACAAGATCAAGTTCACCAATAATAAAGAAGTGCAATGCAATGAAATGCAATGTCAAGTATAGTGATGCATGTCTGACCTAATGATACACACCCGCTGTCTCTCAGTCCGAGACCCATGGGGGACATATCTGTCCATGCATCCATCGCGGCGCGCGATACGACCCTCGATAATAGTAACCATCGCGGCGCGCTATACGTCCCTCGAAATATAGTATCCGTCGCGGCGCGTGACACGTCCCTCGAAATATAGTATCCATCGCGGCGCGCGATACGTCCCTCGAAATGGTACATCCTCTTTATTTTCTTATTCTTTCTCAATGCACATAACACTTGTCACAACCATGTCTCAGAACAATGCAAATGACTGTTCACACAAATAATCAGGAGATGACCATTTTCATAACATTGCACAATTCACAACAAGACAATCAGGATACAACATCAACAATGATTCAACAAGCCTTTCAAACAATTCTCAACACATCACACAAACAATTGATCACATTGCCTTTTATTATCCCTTTTTCATCATTAGAATTAATCAATGTGGAAAAGTTAACCCATCACCAAGCCTCATTACCCTAAACACATATTACAAGGAAATACATGAATTCCATACACTTAACAAGGGTTTAGAAATCCACTTGCCTTAATTAATTGAACAATCACTTCGGGTCTCGAGTCTTCCCATCTCGTTGAACTTCCAACTCAAAGCAATCTATTCAAATAAGTAACCGCGATAAGATTCTGAATTCTAACAACACCATATTACTATGCGTTTAGCCTTGACCCAAAAATTCACCCAAGTTTATAATAAAGTTTCTAAATCTTGATTCCAACTAATATGTCAACTCTTTCAAGTTTATTTTTTCCAAATTTCCAAGCCTAGGGTTTAGTCTCAATATCTCCAATCTCATAAAAATAATAATAATATTCATGTAATAATATTCACCTAATGTTTAATTATCAATCCCAATATATATCCAAACTTAAATTATAATATGATAACCATAAGAAAATTTCCAGCCCAAATAAATTAAGCCAGCAGTAACCTTCGGTGATGAGTCAAAAGCCATAAACTCGCTAATATTGGATCAAAAAAGTTATCAAAGTCCAAAGCTTCAAATGATTTATTCATCATTGGATCATTAACATTATTAAGTAGTCATCATTACACAATTATTGAATTTAATATGTTTGCCACTACTGTTGATCAAATCTTTTAAAAAAAGAAGACTAAATAACTTCCTCTCAAGGATATTATTATACTAATATGTATATCACGTATCTTAGAAATTTAGTATACATAACGAGAATGGATTTTAAGGTTTACCTGAAGCACAAATCATTTTCTTGCTACGCCGATGGTGTCTCTTTCGTACTATCTTTCTTTTCGTCTTTTAAATTGTGTACTAAAATGTTTAAACCCTACTAATTTATTTCCTTGTTTTAATATATTTGAGCCAAGTAATATATTAAATAAATTATGGATTAAGCTCATTAGCCCCCAAATAAAAATTAATTATTTAAAATCACACTTCTACTAAATCATCATAATTAACAAATAGCTCAAAAAAATGTCAAATCAACTTCACAAATTGATCAAAAGTGACTCGGGGCAACTACCGAGATGGGTAAACGGTAATTTTGAATAAATTTCCAAAAATGACCTTTCGGGTCATTACATTTAATTAAAAAGCGACGGACTAAGAGACGTTGTCCGTCGCTTTTTAAAAATGTTTGACTAGATATTTTGACCAAAAAGCGACGGACTAAGAGATGCCGTCCGTCGCTTTTTTTAAAAACTAATTAATAAAATAAAATAAATTAAAACAACGGACAGCGTGGTTATTGTTTAATTCATAAATAATTATTTTTAATAAAAAGCGACGGACGGCGTCTCTATATATATTAAATAAATTATTATTAATTATATATATATTTAGCGCAAAAATCCGTAAAAAAGGCGACGGACCAAGAGATGCAGTCCGTCGCTTTTTGTAAAATAATTTTAAAAATAATTATTTTAATTAAAAAGCGACGTACAACATCTCTTAGTCCGTCGCTTTTTTGGAGCGACGCTGTCTGTCGCTTTTTCTTCCGTCATTTTTAGCAGTTTTTTAGTAGTGATACATTATACACTGGTAAGAATCGAGGGAGTTTAGCTACTCATAGTAAAGGTAACAGAAAAATATCAACGTTCTCATCCATAGTACCAACTCTAATTAAAATCCTATGGTTTGAATCTTCAAAACCTTCAATTACAAGATGATTCTACCCAATTTCATAATACAATCTTATTTCCCAATAGTAAAGGGTTTTGTAGAAAAGTACTAGAAAATTCAGAATCGTAAAAGATGTCTCTCACTTCAAAAAGCTATTTATATGTTAACAAGATTCATCACAAAAATGACATTTAAGTCAGCTTGGCGAACTGAATTGGGCTTGCCGAAGAGTGTAGAGATTCACAAGAGTTTGGCCATGCACTGAAATTTTTCTTTAGGCGTCTACTACTTTCGGCGACACAAATGACCTTCAGTGATACACTGATTACTACCTTCTGTCGCCAAAATGAGATAGACTCAAGGGTTATGAATTGTGACTTTTAGCGATGGTTTTTCCACTTGGTGATATGATTAGTCACCTAGGGCGATACTCAATGCCACTTTTTCCTATGTTTCCAAGTCTTTTGGCTTCTTTTGATATCTTTCATCTCCATGAGCATTGGGGATAATACTTTTGGTGAACCAAAAGCCTAAAATGTGTCTGAAATTCTTGACTCATCAGAAAGATCAAATATGCCTTGAACTTTGCTAGAAGGATCATATAACGAATTTCTTAAAAAAAATTAAAATTAATTATTTTACTATCATTAGATTAAAATGGTATATGTGAGGCCCTTTAGTAATGGTAGGGGTATATATGAGCCACTTTTGTAATAGTAAGGATATATGTGAACGACTTTTATAACTAGAGGTATATCAACTTTAAATCACAAAGTTGAGGGTATATCAGACTCTTTTCCTTTTATCTAATTAATTTGAGGTAATGATTTGAATAGGATGCTATTAAATTAATAGAGTACTAAATATATTTAAATTGGCATGTAATTAAGTAAATAATATATTTTGTAAAAAAAATAATTCTTTGACTTAATCACAAGCAAATAATAAAATTGCGTAAAGATATGAATAAAATAAAATCTTATTTATTGAATTGTACTCCCCCTCCATTTCAAATTAATTGAATTGTTGAGACATTTTTCATTTTCCAAATTAACTTAATTGTTCAATTTTCAAGACTACTTTTAGAATGTTCTTTCAATTTTACCCTTCATTAGTTATTATTGAATTAAGTTATTAATTAATGTTTAGTTGTTTTAATCATAAATTTGATAATGATTAATAAGGGTAAAAATGGAAAATTATGCCTAATTTATGTCTTAATCTTCTTTTCTTAAAGAGTGTGAAACACCTCAACAATTTAATTAATTTAAAATGGAGGGAGTATTTATTAAAAATAAAATAAAGTTGTAGGATTACCTTTAATCTATAATTGAATTGGGGAGTAATTACTGGTTTCCCTCATTGAATAATGAATAAGTTGACTAGATAAAAAAAGAGACCATGTTGCTTTTACTACTCTTCATTAATATGGTATAATCAGCTATTAATGAAGTCTTAACCTTCTTCTATTTTCTTATGAAAAGATTACATAAATTTTAGAAGCATAGCTGTAGTAAAGCAAATTTTAATGCCATTTGCTCAACTAGACTTTTCCGTTACTTCCTAATGAAGCTTTTACAAATAATAGGCCTGGTACAAATTATTTTCAACAGCCAAGAACACCTAACCAGTTAAAAATAGTGTCCATGGGTATCACTATTACCTGTTTTGCTTTCATTCTCTTGGTCCAACGTTGCATCATCATCAATGCGAAATCGGTGCCCAAGTTCCCTGCCATCCTCATCTTTGGAGATTCAACAGTTGATACGGGTAACAACAATTACATATCTACAATATTTCAAGGTAATCATTGTCCTTATGGGGAAAACTTTCCTGGGCGGATTCCCACAGGAAGATTTTCAGATGGGAAACTCGTACCTGACTTTTTGGCATCTATGTTAGGCATCAAAGAATATATTCCTCCTTTCCTACAACCAGATCTATCAAACCATGATCTTTTAACTGGGGTCAGCTTTGCATCTGCTGGCTCTGGATATGATGACCTAACCACAACAACAACTAAAGTAATCCCTATGTCCGATCAAATAAAATATTTTGAGCAATACATACTGAAACTCCAACTAATTATTGGAGAAGAGAAAGCTCAAAAACTCGTCAGTGGTGCTTTGGTTGTTGTAAGTGCAGGGACTAACGATTTCATATTTAATTTCTATGATATCCCAACAAGGAGACATCAATATAATATAACAGGATATCAAGATTTTTTGCAGAGTCTACTCCAAAACTTTGTTGAGGTAATAACTCTACCCTATATATATATAAAAGAAACAAGTCAGTCTCATTGTTCCATTACCCTTTCAGGATCTATATAATCTTGGTGTTCGGAACATGCTTGTTGCTGGGCTTCCTCCTGTTGGTTGTCTTCCAATACAAATAACTGCAAAGTCCCCATTTCTGAGAAAGTGCATTAAAGAGGAGAATTTTGATGCTCAATCCTATAATGTCAAACTTGCAACATTGCTAAAACAAATACAAGACGCACTTTTAGGAAGCAATGTCTTGTATTCAGATTCATATCATCCCTTTATGCATATGATCAACCATCCAAAAAAATATGGTACCCATCCCTTCTCATCCTACTTATTTTATCTAATCCCTTCTCATCCTACTTATTTTATCTAATAAAATATCCACAACTTTAATTTTCTGATGCAAAAGCTCGATTTGACAGGATTTCTGAAAACTAGACGTGGTTGTTGTGGCAGTGGCACATATGAAGCAGGTCCATTCTGTAATAAACACCGTCCTGTCTGCAAAAATGCTTCTGAATACTTGTTTTGGGACAGTATACATCCTGGTGAATCGGCCTACCAACATCTTTCCAATATGGCAATGAAGAAACTTCGGCATCACAAATTATCCCATAGCAAAATTCATTAATAGACATGTACAAACTTCAAATTTCAAATATTATGTCGAAGCATGACCTGGTGCTGAGATCTGCTACTAGGTGATATTATTATTAAATTTCCATATGAATGAAATAGCTTAAAGTGAATGTTTCAGTAAGAAAAAAGTTTGTCTCTCATATGATATGATATTCACTTCTCATCAAAAGAAAGTTTAGTTTTGATTTATTGCAATAGAGATGGAAACCCAAAGTTATGTTCATTTCTTGAAGTAGTAATACCAATCACAATGTTTTTCCAATTCAAGCAAAGGCATTTATAAAAACTAATCACACCTACCAATCTAAAAAGAAAACAAAACTACTCACACCTAAGATAACTGCACTACATTCCTGCAGTTTTTTATGGTTTACATTAGTGTGTAAAAAAAGTATTAGAGGCGACAAATCAGAAGATAACAGCTAAATGCATATATGGTACAAGAGATGCAATCACTTGCTTACAGACTTTGCTCCGAACAACCCAATCAACTGTTCCCCTAAAATAACTTAGTGATTTGAGCTTCAAGATCCTCAACACTAAACTCGATATGCCTCTCAGTGTGCCTTCCAAAATTGTTATTACTAAGCTATCTCCTGATAAAGTTGCGATATGCTGGAAACAAAGTCCTTGCAATGGAAATCCTTAAATCCTCCTCTTGTTGCTCATCAAAGATTATCGAAGTGGATTGAGTTTTACATATCTCTTAAAAGTAGGAATCTAATAACTTAAACTTTTCTTGAGACTTTGATGCTCCAGTAGGTGACATAGTACTGTTATCAGTCTTCAAAGATCCTAAAACCTAACTCTTTGAACTTAGTTGATAATTTACATGATATTGCTTAACTTTGGCTGCTGGTTTTCATATTCAATCATCACCTAAGAGCAATCTCAACTCAATATCTTTAACTTTCTAATCAATGTATCTTTTATAATTCATCAAAAAACAGCCAACAAAGAAGAGTCGTTGTAAATCTTTGATTTTTCTTCCAGATTATTTTCAAGTAACTCCATAATCTATGCCATTTGAGTAGCCAAGGAATATGATGAAACTGCTCTATCATCCTCTTCTCTGTAATCAAAACTGCGCAAGCAGATGTCACAACAATTTCCTGAAAAACCTGTTCAAGATTAATCCAGGATAGACAAGCTGCACGGATATAATTCATCACATACCGAGTAATCATCAGCTGAGAGCAATCCCCAACAAGATTTAACTCCAACTTGACTAAATCAATGATCCTCAACTGTTTAAGATTACAAACTATGTAACCTAAGGAAATAACTCTAATTCCTAAACTTCAAGTTATGGATGCAGATTACAACTCTTGCAATCGTAGGAACTTTGATCCTAAACTTCAAGTTATGCATTCAAATTACAATTCTTTCAATTCTAGGAACTAACTCTAATTAGTAAACTTCAACACAAACCTCCCAACGTAAGTGTTCCCAACACTTTGGGTTATCCCTGTTAGAATATGCACAAAGGAAGCTTTATTCAGGATCACAAATCTTACATATAGACTAAACAATATAACATAAACGAATTTAGAAGAAGACTAACCTGTTGAAACTTCTACAAAAGTCGTCCAGATGCCAAGGATCCACAGCTACGATCTTCTCCTATTTCCTGATTGACTGTTACTACCAAGTTATTTGTGTGGGCAAGTATTACTTGTTTTAAAATATAATTTCTTTCATGCCATATCCAGCCTATTTATACTAGTTTTCCAACTCAAGAATGAATAGGAAAAACGTCCAAATAAATTTCAGGCTTAATAAGCAATCAAGAGGATCATGAGAATAAATTGAGATTAATAAAAACGTTTTCATCCATTTAAGGCCAAACATTTTTGTTTCATCCATTTAAGGCCAAACGTTTTTGTAATACAAAAAAACGTTTTCATCCAATTAAGGCCAAACGTTTTTGTCACTAACTCAATATTTAACTCTCAAATAATTCATCCTTTAAAGAAGATCAACAATAAAATTAATTTGTCCTTCTTTTCAAACTTGGTCAATTAATCAGGCATAGTAGGGACCGTAGATATATTTAATAGAGGCTTCCAATTACGATAATAATTTTCAAATGAACGAATTAACCATATCACAATAAATTACAAAGTATTCCACTAAAATTTTGTAATTGCACTCCTTGATTTAATTTCGAAATCTACCACCACATCTTATTTAACCCCCCGTGCTAGAATTACCGACACCAATCAATTAAATCAAAATATTCTGAAAATTTAATTCATTGACAAAATTAATCCTTTATTATATTTACTTAACTTATTTCACGTGAAGGATCTAAAATCCACCTGCAGGGTTTTCACGTGAAAACTTATAAGTAACCATAAAGGGGTGTCTTCAACTCGGGTCCGAGACACAATTCTATCAACTAATTATTATTTCACTAATGTAATTTGTCATTATCTAATCTATCTGAAATTTATTGACTCATCAAAAAGTCTCACCTTTTAATAGATTAAAACAATAAAATAAATTACATAGATCATAATAATTATATCAAGATTAAGAGTATAAGTACATGTAGTGGACTAGAGAATTTATTTATAAATATTCAGAACATAAACAAATGTCTCTAATTGGTCCGTTCAATACATACAAAATGTACTAGCACAAGAAGTTGAATTTAACCATTCTCATAATTAAGATCAAATTATATTTAATCTTGTGCCACGATCATCAAAATGTTCGTCCTACTTCATCTTTGATCGTGAACACAAATTTATAACTTATATGCACCAACAATTTTAATCTTCTGTGTATGAGTTAAAATACTCCATACACAAAATTGTCTACTATATAAGCAATGGACACACATATATACATAATGATCTATTTAAACCAAAATTTATTATATTAAATAAATAACATAAAAAAGCTTTACAAGGGATTAAATAAAAAACACTATAACACAATTACATGGTTAATAGTATATCCCAACAATCTCCCACTTAGACTTATAACCATGCATTCACAATTTTAACACCCATTTCTTCCACATGCTTATCAAAAGCCTTCTGAGGTAAGCCTTTTGTAAATGGGTCCGCCAAATTGTTCTTCGATTCAATCTTCAATACTCTCACATCACCCCTTTGAGTTATATCACGAATCAAATGATATTTCCTCTCGATGTGCTTACTCCTTTTATGGTTTCGCGGTTCTTTCGAGTTAGCAACTGCACCACTGTTATCACAATAAAGTGTGATTGGTGCTTCAACCGAAGGAACCACTCAAAGCTCTTTTAGGAAGTTTCCAAGCCAAACAGCCTCCTTAGCCGCTTCAGAGGTAGCTACATATTCAACTTCCATGGTGGAATCAGCAACACAAGATTGCTTGATACTCCTCCATATTACGGCTCCACCTCCCAGAGTAAATACATATCCTGAGGTTGACTTTCTTGAATCTCTATCTGACTGGAAATCTAAATCTGTATACCCAATAGGTATAACATTTCCAGGATGGAAAACAAGCATGTAATCTCTAGTCCTTTTCAGGTAGTTGATTATATGCTTAACTACTGTCCAATGTTCTTGCCTAGGATTAGACTGGAATCTACTAACCGTGCCAACAACAAAGCAGATATCCGGTCTAGTGAGACTCCCTACAACGAATGCATAAGGGACCGCCTTCATTCTCTCTATCTCATCAGTCGTTTTGGACGATTGATCCTTTGATAAAGTAATTCCATGTCTAAAAGGAAGAAATTCCTTTTTGGAATTTTGCATGTTAACCCTTGCAAGAATAGTATCAATGTAAAGCGCTTGAGACAAGTGTAATATCCTTTGTTTATGATCTTGCATAAGCTTGATCCCAAGGATATGAGCCGCTTCTCCCAAGTCTTTCATATCAAAACGCGATGACATCCATTCCCTAACTGAATTGAACATGCTCACATTATTTCCTATGAGCAAAATGTCATCAACATACAGAATTAAAATTGCTACTTTGTTTCCTTCCCATTTTTTTTATAGATACATGATTCATTTTCAAATTGATCAAAACCAAAAGTCTTAATCGACTTGTCAAAACAAATATTCCATGCTCTAGATGCTTGCTTTAGTCCATAAATGGATCTCTTAAGTTTACACAACATGTATTCATTGCCTCTTTTTATGAAACCTTCTGGTTGTGCCATATAGATGCATTCATCAAGACTTCCGTTTAGAAAACCCGTCTTGACATCCATTTGCCAAATCTCATAATTGTAATGAGCAGCAATGGACAAGAGAATCCTAATGGATTTAAGCATAGCTACCGGCGAAAAAGTTTCCTCATAATCAATTCCTTCTTTTTGAGTAAACCTTTTCGCAACAAGCCTAGCCTTAAAAGTTTTCACTCTTCCATCCACACCTCTCTTTTTCTTGAAGATCCATTTACAACCAATAGGTTTGAAATCAACAGGGTGTTCTACAAGATCCCAGACTTGATTAGAATACATAGACTCCATTTCTAATTTCATAGCAACAATCCACATTTCAACATCTTTATCATGTATTGCTTCGGCGTAATTCAATGGTTCTGTATTAAGCTCGTCAGGGATTCTATCATATGACTCTCCCAAGAGCGTAAACCTTTCAGGCTTTCTAATAACTCTCCTATTACGACGATTAGCCATTACAGGATGTGCTACTTCTTGAACTAAATCCTGAATATCCTGAACATGCTAAACTTTTTCCTTCACAGCAGCAGATTGCTGGACATTGCTCGCACTACTTTGAGCTAGTGAAATATCTTGAGTTTTCTCTAGGGCAACCTCCTGCGCAGCTGTAGCGACCCTAAAAATAGATAGGTGAAACTAGAGCCTAACGTATGAATTTTTAAAGTTTAAGCATAAATTGGAAGTAGTCACTTTTGGAAAAAAAGTTCTGAATCTGGAAATTGGCTAAGTTCAAAACCTGGAAATTTGGTCAAGTGTGGGAAATCAGTGAGTTTTTGGCCAACTTTGAGCAGTCATAACTCCTA